CTCCCCGTTGCCCCTTGGTTGAGCCGTGGGCAGTTGTGATTGTCGGCCAGGTGGCCCGGGTGGCTCGAGGGTCGGGCTGCCGACATGGCACCGTCGCTGGGTTTCTCACTCGGGATCTAAGGCAGCCGAGCTGCCTTGCGATGAGGCGTAGCGAGTTTACGGTCTCAGCCCGGTCACTGTTTACCCCACACACAAAAAACACTATTACATGAAACTCGGTACTTAAACTTAATTGGGATAAATTCCAGCTCTTGAGAATTACAATATTTGACATTGCTGTATTTCCTAGGTTACGTCGTCCAACTGAAAAGGGAAAATGAGAGGTGGAAACCCGTGGCAACGTCACCACGGGCGCCACGGCCAACAAACGTGCACAGGCGGCAAATTCCGAGTGAGAGTTGGGTCCGCTAAGTTTTTGTTTAAATCGTCGGAGAGACCGTGTCCGGCGTGGTTCTTGCACTTAATTTGCGATGAATCTGTGTCCGTGTGGAAGGCGGCAGCAGGGCAGGCCTCGGATTGGCGAGCCCTCTCGGGAGGGCGACAGCTGTGCCCGGCTCCACGTGTGGGCTCGTTTATGCTTCCCTCGCAAATTTCAACGTTTTGTGCCTTGACCCCCCCCCCCTCCCTAGCCACTTCTTGATGGAGGAGTTGTAAATCTTTATAATGAGCCCAATGTCCCTTTCACGACCCCACTGTGAACTCTCAAAAGTGAGAACGAACCGGAAGCCAACGAGGTATTGGGGAGGACGATATTGCCGAGTGAAGTGTCGGTAGAAGGAGTTCGAGTTAGGATCGTAGCTAAAGTTACAAGCCGATTGGTCTGGAACTCTTTTCCCCCACCCAGCCTCCATACACGACCGCTTCCTTCTCGCCGTTGATGTTCACGGCACCGCGTGTTCGCGGGACACCCTCCACGCCCATTCCGGCATGGCGAGTCGGGCGATCTGGAAATGAAGGAACGCTCTGCCTGAGGCTCGCGGGGCCGGGTTTGCGGCCACCACTGCCGTTGCCACCATTGCACGCGGGCATTTTTTACTTTATTTGTCTTTGGCAGAGATGTATTCGTAGTCTTGAATCTGCCAACTAAATTCTGGTCGATGTTATTGCCACCAATTCGGGGGGGGGCCCTGTTTACCAAAATCAGAGCCGCCATTGCGAGAATAAGGTTCCTAGGTAGTCGTTGAAACGTTTGACTGGTGAGGTCTGCCGTTGCCTCTGTCCACCCAGGAGTGAAGCCGTACAACCCGCGGTTGCCAGCTGGTGGTGGAGTAAAGTGGGTAACTCCCACGTCTTCCAAACCCAGTCTGGAACAGGACATTTCTAAATTTGGTAGAGGGGGAGGTGTCTCCACGCACGCACGCACACAGCAGTGTGTTGGGGCGGGCTTCCCCTCCACTCCTTCGAGGCCATGATATGTTAAACACTGCCGGGAGGGGAAGTAGGGCGTGCACAGACTTGTGTGTAGACCCTCCCTCGACAATTGACGGTGGAGTTGAGACAACTGCCAGTCGCTAGGCACGATGGGGGGCGTCTTCGCTGTGCGGTGTGGACGCAGGCACACAGGCAGGAGGGCGGAATATGGGCCGCCCCTAAATCCCAGGCCCCCTCTCCCAGCAATCCGAGGGCGTGGCTGCCAGGCCCTGCTGTACCCATTCACACTCGCAAACTGATTTTACCGTCGTGCGACAGTTTCGTGCGCATCAGCCCTTAACGGGGAAAACATATTCACGCCGGGGCGTTTGTGAATGTACGTGTATAAAGTCGGGTGTAAAAAAAATAAGAAAAAATGAAAAAAGGTAAAAATGTAAAAAAAAGCTCCCTGAAGTTTATGTTTCCCTTCAGGCTATTTTTTTATGGTGTTAGTTTTGTATGTTGTCATCGCTTGCGCTTATCAAGGGGGGTGGGGGTGAAGCTCGCGGAGGGCGGTGGTGGCGGCGCCCATGGTGGTGGCCGCCACCACCACGGGCGCCGTCGCTCCGCTGTTGGCCCACATCGAGGGCCGCGGCAAGACTGACGGCTCCTTCGCGTCCGGAGCGGTCTCCGCGAGACCGCCGCGAGACCGCCGCGAAATCGCGGGGGGCCTGGCCCTTACCCCCCTCTCCTCGTCGGACGCCGCTCACTGGAGGGGGGGGCGGGTGGTGGGAGCGCCCCTCAGTGGAGGCGCGCCGGCGGAGAGAGACGGGGTAACGGTTGGTAGGCGGGTACGTTTTATTTTGTTTAAACATCTGTAGCACTAAAACAGAAAGCGCATCCCAGTTATTATTGACTGGTCCCCGCAGGGCTGAGGGGCCGAATTCTCTGGAGGCCGTGACTCTTTGCGTGTCTTGGAGGGCGGGGGCTCTGCGTCAGCTCTGGGGGGGCCCAGGTTGCAGCTGCAGAAGAGAGTGGGGGGTGGGGGGCGCTGGCAAGGCAGAATTTGGCTTGCGGATCGGACAACATTTACGTGAGGCTGTCCAAGTGGGTGGGCACAGACGCATCGATCCGGGTATTACAATTCATTATGCTCATGATGCATACGTTGCATCGTGTGTCATCAACTTTAAAAAAAATTAAATGATAAGCTGCTGTGACAATTGGGATGATGGAAATAAACAAAACAAGTGGGACTGGAAACGGGAAACCACACAAGTCGGTGAAAACACGGCCGCAGTTTGATGGCTTATGACCCCGCAATTTCGATTTGTGGAATCTTGGGGGGTGGATCAATTGCTGCCAACCAAACGGCCTTGTCGAGTCCATCGCCAAGTGTGGCCAAGACCGGGCTGAGCCGAACACTCAACCTTGTGGCTCGGCTTGGGCAAGGTTGAGCAATGGCCCAATAGTCAAAAGGACCAGCAACAAACAGCACTGTCATTTGGGCCAAAGAGGAAGTAGCCAAGCATTGCCAATTTGACTTCGTGAACAGAAACCTCCGCTGCAGCTGCATCCAGTCAGCAGTTCTTGGGTTGTGTCTGCCCTTGGGCTATCTGTAATAAGCTTGTGTTTGTGTTGCACAGTTTCCGAAGGCAAAAATGTGAATGAGTCCAGTCCATGTTGGGCAGGCGGCGCCGACGCATGGCGGCGAGTGGGAGAGTCCTCGACCCTCTCCACGGCTCACGGTGGCTTCCAGATCTCATCGTCCCTCAAGCCCGGTCGGCACTCCGGGTGGGCGGGCGGGCGAGTGGGCAGGGCGATCACTCCAGAGTTAACGTCCAGCGCTCGTGGTTGGGAAGCGTTTGTAGAAATTGTCGGTGGGAAAAAACCGTTAAAGTTTGGATGGCGTGGGTGCAGTGCAACAGGATCCGGCTGTCGGGTGAAACTTTATCAACGCCTACATCTCTACCTCCTCCCCACTAAATTGACCCGCAATTTTGCTTGTAAGTTCGAGGCGTCATCGTGACCAGAGCCACTGACGCCGCCACACCTCGCTGTACCAACAGCGCTCTCCTCGCTGTCAGATCCCGCGGCTGTACAACATCTACAGTCGCTAACAGTAACAGCCCATGCTCTGTGGTACGGTTAGTGCCATGATTCTTAACACAAAGAAAACTTGCTCTCAGTGACATGTAATCGTCATTGATAAACTGATTGTAATGGACATGAATTCGAGGGGTGTGGGGGGGTGTAACGTTTCCACCACTCGTGCAAAGTCCGCAGTGAGTGGTCGGTCTTCCTGTGGCGCTTTCGCAGAGTTTCACCTCGGCTCCACGCCAGCGCTGAGTTTGCAGCGGGCTCCCCGCACTGTTCGCCCCGGACTCCCAGCACGGGTGGCGTGCATGGCCCCACGTGTGTGAGCGTGCGTGCCCATCCGTGCATGGCGGTGGACGGGAGGTGCGGGGAGCGGTGCTCTTTGTTCGGGTCAAGCGCTGTTACACAAACAGCGACACGGTGACGGTGACATGGCTACAATTGGAAATGACCAAACCTGCTGTCCATCCAGCTCCCGACAATAGCGCTTACCCTCAACCCTACCTCTGGCCCTGAGCGCAGCCCACGTTGTGTTCACTGTTGGTGTTGACGGCACAGCCGCCGTGTTTAACTTCTGAGTTTTCCCTTGGAGGGTGGGGGGGTGGATTGACGTGAACCGTGGTTATTGTCGTCGTGGTGGTGGTGTGCTCGTGGAGGAGGGAGGAGGCGAGGCGCGATGCCGATAACGACGCTTCTGTCCGTGCGATGATGACCGCGTCGAGACCCTGACCAAACCGAAGCGAACCCTCCCGGCTCTGTGCCGGAGTGAGAAACTCAAATAAACGCGTTGAAGTAAAACCGGAAGCATCCGCTGCTTGTTCATGCCAACAACGCGTGCGCTCAGTCTCTCGGTGACCGTCGAGTTGAACCTGGTGGGAAACCTCTGCTCTTGTGCGCCAAACGCGGCCCACAGCCACATTTCATAACGCCTCCCACCCCCCACTGCATTTTTCACGACCCGCAGCCACAAAGCCTAGAATTGCAAAGCGGCCGCAAATATTTACTGTCGCTATCAGCCTCTTAGCTGCACTAATCGGGTAAATACAACTAAAGGGGGAAATATTTTTGCCCTGACAACGACGGTTTTAGCACTTGCTACCACTGCCAGGGGCCCCTTTTGGTGACCAAAGTGACCGAGGTGACTTCACCGAAAAAACCTAAGAGTATGAATCCTTGCAGTCACGAAAGCTTCAAATCTAGAATTGACAAAGGTGGGTCCGTGTTTCACGTGTGGCCCGCTCAAGGAGGCCACGTTAAATAATCAGTTAAATGAAGACACGTGACTCAAACAGCTGTGCCCTAATAGCTACACACCCAGTGAGGCTCTGAACAGCTCATTCAAAGCTGCGTTACACAGCGCACGAACGCTCCCGTATGTTCCAATTCATCACTGCCGTGATGATGGGCGTTCTTCTGGAATGTGAATAGGTTTCAATAAGGTAGTTGCATCTTATCAAACAACTTGTGGCCGACACCCAGCCCAAGTGTGTAATTCCAAGGACTCATCTCATGCCCCTTTACACGTTAGAGTGAAAACCCAGCTCGCAAAAAGGTATTCTCACCACAAACCACGATGGTTTTATTTTCCCTCGGCAAAAACCGGTTTGACCATGACCTCCACGAGGCTCGGCCTCTCCTCGTGAGCGATTAACAGGACGGTCACCCTCTGGTGGTCAACACAAGCATTGCAGTCGTCCGTTGTCTTTAAACGCACGTGTGTTAACTTAAGAGACGACGTGAATAAACATCCTTCAGCAGACTCCTGTCCGACTCTGCGCACCCGGACGGGCAAATCGATATTTACGAACATCCTTGTGTGTTTGGACACATCGAGGGGACAAGGCGCAAAAGGAGGCCCAAAGAAAACACGAATCGACATCGTCATGAGAGCATTGCACAGAGATGGAGCACACAGACCGCAGCGGAGGAGGGGACACGCACGGCCGGAAGTTAGCCACGAGATTCTGCAGCCACCACGCACCATTGTGTCGGCGTCGCCAAGCCAATAACGTGAGCTGGTGCAGTCAAATTGTTGATATGTTCTCCCTCTGTTCTGCATGGGTTTACTCCCATAGCTAAACACCCACACGCAGCAGAAGTGGTATTGGCCAAACATGCCAGTGCTGGAAAAAATACCTGCAAATTATTAAACTGGGATTACGATAACAATCATCGGTCGCTACTGCAAACACTTGGCAGGGTCATTCTGCAAAAGTGTTGAGACGCAGTGAGGCTTTCCTGGGTAAATATGCGTGAGAATAGTCAGAAGTCGACGTTTACATCCGGGTTTATTAACATCGACTTGAAGTCGCTAAACAATCCCTGAACATGGCCAGTGCTGACCGGCCAAGTGCAGTGAGCTGCGAACCAATTAAATCCCCATCAGCCAGGGCAACAGCGACTGGACGCCTGCCAGCGAGGACCGGTCACCCCACAACGGCCACGGTGACCAACACCTCCGCCCCAAATCCTCGCAAGATCCAGGCGCTGCCTTGCAGCACCACGGCGTCGTGCGACCGGCTGGGCAAGCGAGATTTGCTCACTCCTTGCCGGATGCCAGTGCGGCCTCGTGTTACCAACACCACCTGCGGGGAAACGCGGCCCAGGTAGCTGCGTGGTAGCTGCATTAGCCAGGCTGGGTGTGCTAGGCCGCCCAACACGAAGTGTAACCTCAGTTAAGGAGAACACATTTTAATGTCGCTGGCATGGCATCCCTGGCGCGTCAGTGTAGTAGCAACACCACCAGAGTGCTCACACACTGCCCTTGATATCTGTAAAGGCTTTGACTCTCACAAATAAGTTTCAAACGTGTTGGGCCAGCTCATAACAAGCAGCCTGGGTGTGTTTGCGTTAACCTTCAATACGAGTCGGTCACTGGGTTCAACATCATCCTTTTACCGTACAGCAACGACGTCGTTTTGCTCGAGCAAACGCCAATCGTGTAAAGGTCGTGAACTCTGAGATAGCGTCACGAGAGGGAGCTCGCGGTCGGGGTGACACACTCGCGCTCTGCTCTGCCACACGCTTGCGGCTCATCCTCCTGCTGCCACTCTTGCTCCTTCATCATCCTGCTGCTGCTGCTGCTCGCTCTGCTCTTCCTGCTGCTCCTGTTGCTTCTGCTGCTGCTACTGTTGCTGCTGCTACTGTTGCTGCTCGCTCTGCTCTTCCTGCTGCTCCTGTTGCTTCTGCTGCTACTACTGTTGCTGCTGCTGCTGTTACTACTGCTGCTACTGCTGCTCTTGCTGCTCCTGCTTCTGCTCTTGCTCCATCATCATGCTGCTGCTACTGCTCGCTCTGCTCTTCCTGCTGCTCCTCCTCTTGCTTCTGCTGCTCCTCTTGCTGCTTCTGCTCCTGCTGCTGCTTCTGCTGCTCCTGTTGCTGCTCTTGCTGCTGAGCGCTGCGCACCTCCTGCTGCGCGTCGCGCTGCAGCTGCTCCATGCGCTCGAGCGTGAGCGACTTGAGGGGCAGCAGCTTGGGCTTGCACATGGCGAGACTCGGGGAGCCCTCCACGGACAGCTGCCCTGCTCCGCCACGGACAGACAGACAGGCGGACAGACAGACAGGCAGGGGGCGACACCGCGACTCGAGACCGCGACCTCCGCAGCGGACAACTCTCGGCACCGGATGCCACGGGGGGATTACGCCGCGAGGGTTCCCACCCGGTACCGTGCCGGCAAATCGCATGGACGTGCAGGAGGCGGATAACCCTCTCTGGCAATGGTGGCGAGCAGAGTGGGGAGCTGTGAACGTGGAGCCCCCACGCACCGCTGGCTAGGGGGGGGGGGTCCCTCGGCCCAGGGGACGAGCGGCTGAGCGCTCCCCCCCCGGGCCTCCCCTCACCTTGCTTGGGCAGCACCTCCTTGAACATCGCCCTGCGAGACGCGCCGCCGCCTCCTCCTCTGCCGCCTGTGCTGCTGCTGCGCCGCCAAGCGGCAGCACTGCGCGGTGAGGTGTTGATGGCTCTCCTTGTGCAGCAGTGGTCCCTGTGGTGGTGGTTGTAGTGGTGGTTTTGTTGTGGTATTGGTGTGGTTGTTGTGGTATTGGTGTTGTTGTGGTATTGGTGTGGTTGTTGTTGTATTGGTGTAGTTGTGGTGTCGTTGTTGTGGTATTGGTGTCGTTGTTGTGGTATCTGTGGTGGTTGTATTGGTGGTGTTGTTGTGATATTGGTGGTGTAGTTGTGGTGGTATTGGTGTAGTTGTTGTTGTATGGGTGTTGTTGTGGTATTGGTGGTGTGGTTGTGGTGGTTCTTGCCGTTGTCTCGCGGCTACCAACGTCTCTCGCGCGCGCACGGATTGGCCAACACCCGCCACGTGACGGGGAGGGTCCGTGGCGGCTTCGCCGCGTGATTGGTGGAGATGATCCGAAACTCCTCCCCCCTCCATGGCGCGCCCCGTTGCCGTGGAGACGGTGGCGCGCGCCGTCCCCGAGGGAACAGCGGCCACGTGACGCGGCCAAAGCGCGGGAAATGGATTCGGATGATGGTGACGTCACCGAGTGGGGGGGGGGGGAGCGCGTTTTATTCTCCCCCTCGCAACGTTACAGTACAAATATAAAATGATAATTGTTTTTTTACCCTTTTATCTGGCAACAATACTGACATCTTTTTTTACGAGGAATCATGTTTGCATTGACCACAATACCTGCAGTCGGAATGCACCTTTTGGCGTCATCTGGTCCAACACCAAGTGAGACTCGGCTCTAAGGAAAGCTGTCTCGAGTGTGGACCAATCAACTTCAAGGACAGTGCACATCACTATCATACATTATCAGAGTTGTGTTTTTTGTTTGCATTATGACCGCAGGTATTGTGATCAATGCAAACATGACTCCTTGTAAAAAAAAAGGTGTCAGTTTTGTTGCCAGATAAAGAGGTAAAAAACAATTATCAAATTTTGCTACTGGCAAATGAGGTTGCAATGGGGTTAAAATATAAAATCGGTGACGTTTCGGGCAATTGCCCTTTTTCATGGCATGTAGAGAGGCCAGTAGATAGACAGAGTGGCGGTAAGACTTGAAAACTGCATTTGTGGCCTGAGGAGAATGACATCTAAAGCAAGTTTCCTGATGAACAGTTCTTACATTGGGGTATTAATTAGCCCCGGGCAGTGGGCAGTGAGGGGTCTACAGGACGTGGCTTGTCAAGTTGATCTCTCCGAGTGAGTTTCCCAAGTCTCCGCCTGAGGTCACGCCGCACAGACGGCGCCCACTCCCCTCAGCCACCACGGCGAGTGCGCGTTGGCGATGTCCGCCCACGACTTCGTGTTGTTTATTAGATCAGCGTCGTCCCCTTACAGGCGGAGCGGGGGCGAGGAGCGGGGGTGGGGGACACGTGGAGACGCGAGACACGTGGGAGACAGACAGCTCCACGTGGAGACAGCTCCACGTGGAGACAGCTCGACATGAGAGACAGCTCCATGTGGAGACAGCTCCACGTGGAGACAGCTCCACGTGGAGACAGCTCCACGTGGAGACAGCTCGACATGAGAGACAGCTCCACGTGGAGACAGCTCCACGTGGAGACAGCTCCACGTGGAGACAGCTCGACATGAGAGACAGCTCCATGTGGAGACAGCTCCATGTGGAGACAGCTCCACGTGGAGACAGCTCCACGTGGGAGGCGAGATCCACGTGGAGACAGCTCCACGTGGGAGACAGCTCCACGTGGGAGACAGCTCCACGTGGAGACAGCTCCACGTGGGAGACAGCTCCACGTGGAGACAGCTCCACGTGGGAGACAGCTCCACGTGGAGACAGCTCCACGTGGGAGGCGAGATCCACGCGGCGACTGGGGCTGGGGGACGGCAGCGAGCCCGAGACTCGGATGCCCAAACACACAAACGAGCGCCGCTTTGTTGGAAGAAGTCCACACTGATCGCCTGTTGCCTCCTCCATGGGAGTGGGAATTGCCTCTATTGGCTCAGGCTTCTCAGTGGCGACTACTACTACAGTATTTATTTAACCAGGCAAGGCCCACTGAACTACATAGATATTCTTTAGAAGCGACCTGGCCGCAAATGATAGCTCAACGAAGTGGCTTGTCACGTGTAAATGTTGACTCTTAACGCATGTTGATTCTAAATGTGGAGGGCAAACCCAGAGGACCTGGAGAGAAATCTCCGCGACCACGGGGAGAACTTGAAACTCCAAATACACAGCAGCAGCAGCAGCAGGCGTGAGGGTGGGGATCCCACCCACGGCCTCCTGTATACTGGGCGAGGCAGTTAACATCTCCTAGCCAGCGCGGGTGACTTGAGACACGGGCTGTGGTGAAGGCCTCGTGGCCTGGCTGTGTGAGTGTCACGTGAGAGGTGAGAGTCACCAAACTGACAAGAATGTCGCTGTACAGTGTGACAAGTAGTGAGAGGGAAAATCACACACGGTGACTTTTCGCAGGGTGACTTGGCAAAGGGTGACTTGGCACAGGGTGACATTTCGGCGCCGAAAGTTTGCAAATGGCCTCTTTCGGCAAACTTTCGGTTTAGGCCGAAAGTCAATTTTTAACTTTCGGTCTGGTTTCGGTTTCGGCCGAAACTGATATTGATTTTCGGTCCATACTCTTTGGTTTTTTCGGTAAAGTCACATAGGTGAAAATAAAAATAAAACAACTAAATTAAATTACGACGTTTCGGAAGCAACACAAGCATCCGTCGTCAGGTGTAACCGCTCCAGCAAAATTACGCTACAGTAATAAATACCGAAAAAAATCAAAGAGTATGGATCCTTGCAGTCACGAAAACTTCAAATCTAGAACTGATTTTCGGTCGTCAACCACGTCAGCAGCAGCAGCTTGGGAGCGAGGTTACAGCCGCAAGCACGGTCTGCTCATGTAAATACGAGCGGTCAACAGACGGCAGCCTGCATCTCCATCCGTGGGTGGAGTCTCTTTGGCGGGACGACAACAAAGTGCCTCTGTTGCCTGTGTCCAGCCACCTGCCCACCTTGGCTGATGTGTTGCGTTCGCTTCAGTCTACACGCGTGTTGATACCGAGATTCGAAGTCTGACAATATTGATATTCAGTTAGTTAATAGTTCCGTATAAAATTAGTGATAACGAAATTACGAATCTGAGTGAAGTGGAAACTTAAAGTTAATTAACGGAGCAGTTAATTACCGTGAAGAATGTCGAAACACGCGGTGTGGGATCACGTCACTAAAGTCGATTCTGATCAAAGCAAGGCGCAGCAGCAACCTGCTGGGCGAGAATGCGGAAAAACTGTTGTTTCTTAACTACAACATTCGTTTGTTTGGATATAATTCCTAAGTAAGTAACATCTAAATATTTGATATTTAGCGACTCTTAATGCAGGCTTTGAATGATTAGTTCTAGATTTCTTTTTAATTGAAGTAGCATTGCATCATGACATATTTCATAAATCTTGTGTTCGGTAACTTTGGTTTTTATACCTTTCTGTTTCGGTCGCGGTCGAAAGTGAAGTTCAACTTTCGGTTTCGGCTTCAGTTTCGGCCGAAAGTAAATTTTTTACTTTCGGTCGGCCTCTACGTAGCACAGATTGACCTGGCACAGATTGACCTGGCACAGGGTGACCTGGCACAGGGTGACCTGGCACAGATTGACCTGGCACAGGGTTATGGACACGCACACTGGAATCGCTCCCCACCCTGCATCATGTCGTCGCTCAGTCTCAAGATTTGTCAATTTGATCAAATGTGATTGGGGAACCCAAAAAAGTAACTCAAATTTACAGCAACAATCACCGAGTTGGCAACACTGACCCCCTTTGTCTCTTCCCGTGCCCCCAACCCCACACCTCCCAGCCTGACCCCGTAACTCCGATTTTGGCTTCCTCTAGGTCGGCTTTGTGTTGCTGAGCCTCTCAATCTTCTGAAGCCGAGGACGATGACGACTTCTCACGTGGTGGAAGAGGCTCCAGATGGAAATCAACCTGAGCAGAAAGAGCACACATACACACGTGTACACGCATCGTGTTAGGTGTACGGACACAACTACACGCACACAATAGTGACAACCGCCGTTCACCATTTAGTGGCAGTGCCGTCACCACGGTACTTGTGCCATGCACTTTGTGGCCATGTGAAGTGTCGAAAGCACGCTGGCAAGAGGTCACGGAACAGACCCAGGTGCCATGGGTTAACTAACTAAGATGACTGGCACATACACCAACTGTGCTCCCCACTGTGTGAACTTGCTGTGTTTTATCTGCCTGGCGCTCTGCTCGTTGTTGTGAGCATCACACCTCTGCCCTCCGTTATTTCTGGAGGCCGACTGCCTCAAACTGCCCAGTCACCCAGTCGCGTCCTTCACTAGCCTCCTCCATAGAGGCCAATCTTGACACTGCTTTGATCGGTCTTCGGCAAGTCCACTCAGCTCTACACCCGCCTCTTCTCGAGCCAACTCCCGGCCACGCAGCTTTACCCTGGCCTGCCCACCATCGTGAAGGCCCTTAATGATTGTGAGGAGATGGTAAGGGACCCTAATAGAATGAAGAATAACCAAGATCCCTGGCCTACTGATGGTATGATAGGGCTTGACCAGGTCATTAAAGCATTGATGTAATTCCTGTTGAAATTCCCTACACCTCTGCTGTAGCAGATGGACAAAGAAAATCGCGTCCGTCCAGAACCAACCCATTCTGAAACCACATTGCGGCCCCGCAAGCTTCCTTTCGGCATGCCTGGTAAGGGCAGTGGCGGTCGTCGTGATTTCATAACCTCCGTGAATGATTGAACTCATGTCTCAGCACTGCGCTCTGTGGAATGCGTCCGTGTTTCTACCCAGGCGGTCAGGCACTCACGTGTTAGTGTGCTTGCGTGCATGTGTGGGAAGCGGTGGTGCAGTGATTAGTGCGCTGCACTATGAACCAAGTGACCCGGGTTCGATTCCCACTCACAGCTAACAACACCGCTGATGAATATCTAAAATGGTCCAGGGCCTCCTCTAGGTCGACTCACTTTTAAACTTAGTCCATACTATGGTGTGTAAACATCAGCGCTGGGAAAGCAAAGACGGCCGGGTGTGGTGCTGGCCACCCACCCACTTGAGCATAAATTCCGGCCGTCGTAGGTGATACCCACTCGCAGCACTTGCCCCAACAGCCTGTGCAGGCTCCCCGAGGGATCTGTGTGTGTGTGTGTGCATGCCTCGCTGGGCTCGCTGTCCGTGACGATGGCGTCCGCGGTGGCGGTGAGGTGGCCCGGGGCCGACGCGCTCAGCGTGTAGACGCCGGGCAGCAGCAGTCGGAAGTAGTCCCCGTCCGTCCCTGCGGGGACACACAACATCGTGACCACCCCGGGGAGAACTCCCACACCAGGGGTCTGTGTCCCTGCGTGGGGGTCCATGTCCCTGTCTCTGTATCCCTATCATTGCGATGGTTATTGTGATTACAACACTACATATTCATGTACGTTGAACTTTTTCGCGCCGTACGTAGCCAACCGCGTGAATCGGTGGTGCGAAACGTTGCAGTGAATGTAGTGATGATGTTGTGGTTGTTGTGGTGGTTGTCTTTAATCTGTGACTAGCCTTTTGCCCGTCCAAGGACGGGTGTATTGCAGTAAATCTGAAACTTGCAAGCGAAAAGCAGCCCGCGACGTGATATTCATTGCATCCATTCGTGTGCAGCTTGTAAGGGCGCGGTGACACAGACTGAGTTCATGTGAAGGTTATAATCCCTTGTTCATCACGACGTCCTTTTTACTTTGATGTCTCAACAGCGTGACGGAGATCGCGTGACGTGAGGGTTCTGCCTTTGTAGTGAGGGTTGTGAGTTGGCGCCGAGGAGGGGGGAGGAGGCGCCTTGCCCCCCCCCCATGTGGAGTGACGTCACCCGCTAATTATTGATGGAGGGGGGATGACCATTTGGAGGACGTCACCTGGTCATGATTATTAATGAGGGGGGCTGGTCGACGTGGTGACGTCACCTGCTCATGATTATTAATGAGTGGGGCTGGTCGACGTGGAGTAACGTCACATGCGTTACACACAGACATTCTGAAGCGACGGTTGCGGTGTTTGCGTGTCTCACCTGCTGTGATGTCATGAGCGATCCCGGCCACGGAGATTTGGGCCCCAGGCAGCGCGACCCCCCCCACCCCCCGCACCACCCCCTTCACTCCACGGTGAACCTGCACCGCCACCAACGCCAAAGCGCCCAGTCAGCGACCATCAGGGGTCATCATTGATCATTCGTGGTCATCGTCGATCATTCGTGGTCATCGTCGATCATTCGTGGTCATCGTCGATCATTCGTGGTCATCGTCGATCATTCGTGGTCATCGTCGACGGTAGCCTCGCGGCCCACCTGTTTTCATATCTGAGCGATGGTGGTGGGGTGGGGGTGCGAGTCGTGCGGGGGGTGCGAGTCATGCGGGTGGTGCGGGTGGTGGTGGTGCCGGTGGTGCCGGTGGTGCGGGTGGTGGTGCAGGTAGCGCGAGTGGTGTGGGTGGTCACCAGTGGTGTGGGTGGTGCGGGTGGTGGTGGTGTTGCAGGTAGCGCGAGTGGTGTGGGCGGTGCATGTGGTGGCGCCCACCTGCTCGATGAAGGAGAGCAGTGCCTCGCGGTTGGCCTGCCACTCGCGTGCCAACTCCTGCGCTTGGGGGAACTTCTCACAGCTCAGCTCCAGCGTCACCTCAAAGCAGTTCGAGTGCAGGTAGTTAAAGTCCTGCATACCTGGCACAGGTGAGTGAGTACCCCCTGAGTACCCGGCACAGGTGATATGTGCTTCATGGTATAGTAATGAGTAAGATAGTGATGGTGTTGATGTTGATTGTGATGCTGATGTTGGTGATGTGGTTGATGTCGTTCATCATTATGGTGGTGATGTTGATGACAATCCTTACCCCCGCTCAGCGAGTACCAGCTGGCGCCGTTGGTGATGCCGTCAGGAAAGTAGTCCCCGCAGTTGGTCCCCGTGTGCATCCACCCGTGCGCGTAGGAATACGTGATGGCGAGCTGCGTGAAACGGCACGGCCTCAAACGCGTGGACACGGATCTGTGCAGCTGTGTGTGCAGCTGTGTGTGAGCTTGTGGGGAGCGGCGGGTGGCGCAGTGGTTTAGGCACCACGCTACAAAAAACGGCGACTAATGATAGTGAGGAATATTTGAACTGGTTTTGAGCCTCCATTAGGTCGACTCAGCCTTAAATTGGTACCCAATGTGTAAACATCACCATTGGGAAGACGTGTGTGGCGCTGACCACCCGCTCCCCCCACCACCTAGTAGGTGCCACGCCGTGATGGCCTTCACAGGGCTGCTGCTGCTGCTGCTCGCTAACAGCATTTGCCCCACAGCCCATGAAGGCTAACGGGGGGGGGGGGGGGGTTTGTCTCTGCGCTCACGTGGCGGAAGAGCGGGTCGTCGGGGGTGCCCGCGTAGTGGTGGAGCCGCGAGGGCAGCGGCTGGCGGCCGCGCCGCGACTTGTCGAACGGGTAGTTGGCCACCACGGCGCCGCCGTGCAGGTTCGCCGACAGCACGAAGTTGTGCTGCCGCAACCAGCGGATGACGGCGCGCGTCTCCGGCTGCACCTGGACGGAAAGGGGACGGGGGCCGGGGGGTGAGGGGGGAGCGGGAACCACGCGGTCGGCCCCCTCCGTGCCCGCCCGCCGACGTTCAGTAAAACGTGTGTGTGCGGACGGCGAGAGAGATTGTTGTCAGAACTCGACCGGGAAGCCAATGGGGGTCCCCAGGGTGAAAGGGCGTGAGGCCTCCCCACGCACGCGGATCCCAGAGGCTCGTGGCCGCAGCAAACGCCACCACGCTGATGAGTCCCGATGAGGGTGAATACACGCCTGCACGTCCGTGCACCCGCTCCCCTGGACACCTCCACACTTGTCCATACTGCACACCTGTGGACGCACTTACTTATCGACCTTGACCCAAAAGGTCATCTCGACCTCACAGTCCAAAGTCACAACTCACGTGACCGGGTCATGCCCCCCCTCCCCTCCCGTGACTGCAACCTCTCGACCTCGTAACCTCCCGACGAGGCGCCCTCGCCACGGTCCCGTGACCTCTTGACCCCGGAGCTCCCCGCCCGGAGGCGCGTACCTGGGCGTGCCAGCCGCTGGGGAGCGCGAGGTGGTGGTTGGGGCCCCCCCCGCGCTCGTGCTGGTAGAAGACGGCCGTGAGGTCGGGGAAGTCGCGGTTGAGGTCCACGCCGCGCGCGTTCCCTCGCCCGTCCGTGTACCAGTGCGCCTCGGCGCCCTGGCTCTGCGGGGTTGCACGCCGTAACGGGGGAGCGTGGATGATTTAACGGCGACGGAGCCTCGCGTGCCACGGGTCACGCACGCCGGCATGAAGTACGCGAGACAAACCCGAGTTCGATTCCTGCTCACAGCCACTGCCAGTGACGATTCTCTGCACTGGTCCCGGGCCTTCTGTGTAAACATCGCAACAGACCCCGCAACTCCATCCCTCTCCCTTCCCCTTTACCTGTGCGGCCGCCACCTCGTATCCGTCGGGGTTCATGCTGGGCAGCACGTGAATGCGCGTGGAGCGCAGCAGGCGCTGGACGCGTGCCGCACCGCGCCGGTGCTCGCTGCACAGGTGGTGCAGCAGGTGCAGCAGCAGCTCGCGGCCCAGCGCCTCATTGCCATGCATGTTGCCCACGTACTTGAACTCCGGCTCGCCTGAGGCGGGGGCACAGACGGCGGTAATTAATTGGTGCGTTGATGGAGGTGAAGAGTCGGGCGTCACCGACGTAGCGGTCGGGGTGTCCAGAGGGGAGCTTGGGTCAGGGCGAGGAAGACCTCCATCGTTGTGGGAGGAGTGAGGGGAGGGCGTGAGGAGATGTTTGGGCGAGCGTGAGGGATGCCTCGCCGATGGCTGCGGCGAGCCCCGTGGTGAGATGCGCGCTGCACGAGGTGCCGAGCTTCGGTGACGCCCGCGGGTCGCTGTGACCAGAGGCCGCTGCCGGGATGGCGGAGGAGGACTTCCGAAGGTGGCGAAAGCTTCCTGCGCCGGTTTGGGCGCGACGTCTGACGTAGGAGGAGGCGTGCGGTGCTGTAACGGGGCCCTGCGTGCCGCTCGCCCCGCTGGCTCCGCGGGAGCAAGTTCCCAGCGCCTCCCGGGTGGCTCGGCGTGGATGGCACCGGCGGGGAGCCGGCGTGAGTCGCGAGCCAGGCGGCGACGACGGCGGCGTTGGTGGTGGTGGTGGGGAGCGGTGGTGTAGCGGGTAGCGCTACGCTGCGCTATGAACCCAGCGACCCGCGTTCGAATCCCGCTCACGGCCAACACCGGTGACGAATATCCGAACCGGTCATGGAACCTCCCCTAAGTCAACTCAGCCTCAAATGAGTAGCTGATGCGCTGTGTAAACATCCCTACTGGGGAGACAAAGGCGGCTGGGCGTGGTTCTGGCCACCCACCCCCTCGTGTGCCGTACCGACCTCCATAGGTGCTGCTCACTAACATCACTTGATCCAACAGTCTGTTCAGGCCACACAGAGAGAGGTCTTTGTGGGTTTTTTGGTGGCTGTGGTGGTGGTGGTTCGTGGTGGTGGTTGGTGGTGGTGGTGGTGGTGGCTGTGGTGGTGGTGGTTGTGGTGGTGGCTGTGGTGGTGGCTGTGGTGGTTGTGGTGGTGGTGGTGGTTGTGGTGGTGGTGGTGGCTGTGGTGGTGGTGGTTGTGGTGGTGGCTGTGGTGGTGGTTGTGGTGGTGGTGGCTGTCGCTGTGCTGCGCGTGGCTGCCTGTAACCAGGGCCGGGTTGAGGCTATGAGGGGCCCAAGGCGAATAGGAGAGAGCAGCCCAAGTATGTATGACATATTGGAGAAAAAAAGTATTAAATAATCAAACATGTTTACTTATTTATCGACGTAAAATGAACACATGTATTAGACTCAAGGTAAATTCATAAAACACTAATCGCTCATTAGCTTTCGCTGTGACAAAGTCATGAATGATGTCATCATAATGCAAAGACAAAAATGTCACGAGAATTACCAGCAGTCAGTCACATTGGGCTGCCGTGTGTTTGGAACGAATATGCTGTGCAGAAGGCCAATACAGTACTTACTTCACCAATCGTATAAGTCTACGGTGTTAGGATGAAGGCGTTGGACTTTTTTGATCATCCGTACGGGAATACTTCTCTTTAAAGGCCTCTATTGATTGAAATGTTGTTTACGTAAAGTCAATATTATCCCTAAACAAAAAGTTATGAAAACCAAACACGAGAGAGGTTGGAGGGGTGGAGAGTTTGGCAATAATCCAGATGCGTTTCAAAGAATACACATTCACCACTCACACATCCACCACTCATACATTCACCACTAACACACACACAACATACACACACATTCACCACTCACATTCACCACACACACATTCATCACACAAACTTTCAACACTCACACATTCAACACACGCATTAGATACAAAGACCCCCCCGTATAGCCTTAACAGACTGTTGGGGCAAGTACTGTTAGCGAGCACCTATGAAGACCGGCACGGCACACGAGGTGGTGGGTGACCAGCACCACGCCCGGTCGCCTTTGTCTCCCTCATTCACTCAAGACTCCGACCGGGACGCGCATGCCCACGGCAGCACGGAGCAACATCAGCAGCCGCAATGTCAACAACGTAAACACCAACAGCGTCGCTACGACATCAACAACAACCAAAGTCAACAACTACAAAATATCCACAACAACACCAACCACTCCATGAGCAACAACTTAATCGTCCAGAGCTCTGCGTCTCGCGGTGAGGGAGGTCGGGGGTCGGTATTGGGGTCACCGGTCAGTGGTAGGATTCGGGATTCAGGGTTCGGTTTACGGGGTCAGGGTTTAGCGTTAGGGGTCAGGGGACGAGGTCACTGTTCGGGGGTCAGCGACGTCCGAGTCCGGGTCAGGTCATGCGCTGGAGATCCCAGTTGAGGCTTCAGGGGCCACAGGGTCAAGGTCCGCGATCTGTGTGGGTGCAGTCGGGACCCCCCCACCCACCCCCGTCACCCACCCCCGTCACCCACCGACTTCGTGTGTGCCCGGATTGTCGCTCATCTCCATCGCGTAGAGGTGGCGGCCCTGCGCGCTCTGCCCGATGGAGTAGAGGCGCGAAACGTCGGGACAGCGCGACGCCACGACCCTGAGTGCGCGCACCATCGCCTCGTAGTCGTGGTGGACGAACGACGGCGACCACGACGACGCCGAGTTGGAGAGGTTGTGGTGGTTGTGGTGGTTGTGGTAGTCGCCTCCGTCCTCGGACAATGGCACCGCGCGCACGGAGCCGAGCCACCCGACAAGAAGCAGCAGCAGCAGCAGCGGGGGTCGCGCCGCGGAGCCGCGGAGCAGCAGGAGGAGGAGGAGGCGCTGGGGAGCGGCACGTGGAGCCATCTCCTGCCGAGCTGCCACGCGGCGGCCGCAGGGAGAGGAGCGACTGGGCACGGAGGAGCCACGCGGAGCAGGAGGAAGAGGATTGTGCTGGTCGCTCCTCGTGTTTCAGTGGTGAAGAGGTCGATTGTGGTGGTGGTGACGATGGAGGTGGTGGTAGTGGTTGTCAGCGTTGATGATGGTAATTGATGATGATTGCTGTTACTATGTGATGATTATAACCGTGCGTTTTACTGAACGATGAGTGGAGTAACTACATGTAATGATGACGGCTGTCGTCTGTGATGATGTCTGCTGACGCCGAGGACGCTGATGTGACGGTGGCTCGGGTGCGTCGCTCGCTCCGTGACCCCCCCCCCCCCCCCGTGTCGGCACGGACCCGCTCCTCCCCCTCCACACGCGCCCGACAATCATTGACGACGCCCGGGAGATTCATTAACGAGGAGCGGCAGGGGTCCAAACCGGGGGCCCCAGTGGGGTCCCCTCGGGGCTCCGGGCGGCGGGGCTGGGTTGGGCTCCGGGCGAGGCAGCGTGGGGAGCGGTGGAGCAGAGCGCAGCGCCGCCCTTCGAACCCGGCGACCTGGGATCGATTGCTGTGCCACGGCTGACGTCAGTGGCGATTGACGCCGCAGGTTGACTCAGCCTCGACATGCAGCGCACCCGGTGGGTGCAGTGGTGGGTGCAGCAGCCTGCAGAGTACACGGAGGAGGCGGGGGGGGGGGGTAAGGTGCCTGGCGGAATAGGGGGCTCTGTGGTTGGGTGCTGGGGTCTGGAGTTTCCGGAGCCCCACACTGTAGGGGGTCTCTCTAGGGGGTCTCTGCAGGGGGTCTCTCCAGGGGGTCTCTCTAGGGGGTCTCTGCAGGGGGTCTCTCTAGGGGGTCTCTCTAGAGGGTCTCTCTAGGGGGTCCCTGGTCCCCGAACCGGTCGGGGCCTCATTCCTGCGGCGTGACCTCGACCCGCGCCGCCTCACGGGGGCCGCAGCCCCCCCCCCCCCCGGCTCCTCCTCCTCACCACTCACTCACTCACCTCGGTATTTATTTATTCATCGTCGTCGTCGCCGTCTTCGTTTTGTTTCCGTCATCGCCGCGGAGTTTGGCTCTGAGCGCTGCGAGCCGGAGACCGGTCGAGCCGGCACGGCCGCTGAGACACCGGCGGCGGCGGTGGCTGCCCCGAGTGCGGGCAGCAGCCCTCTGGCTCTCCTCTCTCTCTCTGCATTCACGGGGTGGGGTCGTCTCCGTGCACAACAACGCTCACAACAACGAGCGGGGCGCCGGGCGGATAAAGTGCGCAGTTGGCACAGTGGGGGACACGGGCGGTGGCATCCGCCGGTCGCCAGAGTCGACCCGTGGCACCTGCTGGGCCGAGCCTTCGACACTTCGCGTGGCCTCAAAGTGCACCTAGCCTGGCACGAGCGCCGTAGCGACGTCACCGCCACTATCAGAGTTATAGTCTTCATTCATCCTGGAGAAACCCGACGAGCTGTGAAGCTCTTTTTCAGACGTATCCGGTAGGGGCGGCTGAGAAAGTTAAAACGCAAACAGCGCGAGAGGAGCGAGGCGCCAGCAGCGTGCTCTGCACACGAGAGGGCGACGCCTCAAAAGCTCCGCACAAACGGATTCACGAATCCATCGATGTGTTGCCATCTGCTGGCCACCCCACAGAGCAGTCTCAACAGCGAGGGGGGTTGGGGCGCATTGAGGGCGACTTGGAGATGAACAGAAGTCCATCGTGGCTCCGCGGGGCACTCTTCAACGCCTCGTGATGTAACACGACGTCGCCACAGTGAAGATGGCATCCATCAAATCACCCGGAATGTGCCCGACCTCGGAGGCTAAGCAGGGCGCGAGCCTGCACGGTGCTCGGATGGGCGATCGTCGTGCGCGGCAGGCGCTGTCTGTCGCCTGCCGCTCGTGCCGGCACCACTCCTCGTCACGAACTCAGTAGTCACCCACCCAGGAGCCAACTCATTCACCCTCTCAGGCTGCTGCCACTCGGTGGCGCAGCACGGCGAGCTCCCTGGGCGCCCGTGAGCCCCTTCTCGCAGCCCGGCGTCTGGGACCGAGTGCAGTCGTACCGCCTGCACCCCCGATAGCTACGCCACTTGCACTCACTCACTCACCCGACCACTCGGCAAACACAACGTGAACTGCTTTGTGTGAAAACATTTTAATGAAAATCGATGGGTTTGGTCCATTGACGACCCATCTGTTACTTCTGCACGGGATCGGATGTTGCCCCCTCGCACTCGTGGGGTTTCTCAGGGTGTTCCGGTTTTCTCTCAAACATACAAACTCATTCATTGGCCGAAAATGTTCTGAATATATCGAGGGGACCGCAGAGCTGGGGCACTCGTTGTCAGCGCTGGTTCATCGTCGCCGGGTTCCCGACTTCGCCGCTCGCCTGCGGCTCCTCGTCGACGATCGTGCGTGACGCGGATTGCAGAGACGACGACGCCGCAGCAGCTCGGTGCACAACATCCACGTTGTTGTTGTTGTTGACGATGTGAAGACGTGAAATCCGCAGTGACGATCCACATCGGAAACAATGCCACTGACATCGGGGATGGATTCGGGGCACGACATCGGCATGAAGGCGACATCGGCATGAAGGCGACATCGGCCGCGGCGCTCGAACCCCACCAGAGGAGCGCCGCGGCCCGGGGCCCCTGAAGAACCGAGGCGTTTCGCCTCGAGGAACGACGCGGGCGGAATTTTGAAAGTGCTAAATGCAAATAAATAAACTGTACAAGTGACGAAAAACTCACTCCCCGCGTTCGTCGCTAACGCTGCCTTATAACACACACACCATACACAACGGGCTGACGTTTCGGGCAATGGCCCTCCTTCAGAATAGAAAGGGCAGAGAGGTCAACCGACTGGCACTTGGCACTGGGACCGCCCAGAAGAGCTGGGAGAGCGTTTTAGGAAGACGACCAAACTTGGGGGTCGAGGAGACTCGGGGGAGGACCTCGACCCCCCGAGCAGCGCAACCCAAACTCGAGCGAGGAGCTCACAGGCGACTTCAAGGTGGCGTCACAGGCAAGGCAGCTGCGCCGGCAGGTACCAGGGACTAGGTACCAGAGGCAAGGTACCAGAGGCGAGGTACCAGAGGCGAGGTACCACCGCAAATTGGTACCCCGACTGAGGCTGCCCTGTCCAGCCCCGCCACTCAAGGGGGGGGGGGGCGGGGGGGGGCATCATGCGGTCTCTCCAGGACCCACCGAGTACCCCGAGTTGGGGGGGGGGGGGCTGCACAGTGGTCAGGCTGCATCTGCGGTTGATTTGTGGTACAGCAGTTGGCACAGCGGCGCTCGAGGAAGAAGCCCGGAACAAACCCGAGTTCGACTCCCGGCCACGGCCCGCATGGACGGCGAGCGACAGGTTTGTTCAAACAACCGCCACCGCCCCCATGACGGCGGACAGAGCTTTCATCCAGCAGTGGAGTGCGTGGCGATGACCGCACGCCCCCGGCTCGCGCAGCCGAGACGCCCGCCGCATGCGAGGAATGCGAGGCGGAGACATTCGCGAGGAGCTGCGTCATCGCTGCCAGCGCGGTCCCCAGTGTCTGAGGGGGGAGGGGGAGGCAGGTGGCGGGGGGGCTCGCGGACCCCACAGATGAACCCCCCATCGAGAACACTCACAAGTGCCCCCCCCCCCCCCCCCCACTAGTAATATTTATCCAGGCGGCTCAGCTCCTCGCAGCAGCAGTCAGAAGGTCGCGAGTTCAACTCAAGGTTTGGGGTGGGTGGCTTGACTCGGCCCATCATCATTCCTCTCCCCCTCCAGTGGTACCACTTTGTGGGGATATCAACGGTGGTGGTCCTATGGATAGACTCGGCCCCACCATAGGATTGTGGAATTCCTAAAACAGGCTCTGCAGGGCTGCAAAGCAGATGTACTCCACCGACTGCCTCGATGCTCAATGCAGGGAAGTTTGGCTTCACGTGGCAGCAGCGAACCCAGAGACAGCGCCGCTGGATGGATACGAGGGGGTAGCACTCACGGGTCCGCACAGACGGGTCTGCAAACCCACTGGCTCCACTGTCGTGATCCTGACCACCTTGCAGCCTTAGGAGGGTTTGGGAGTTTCACAAATCTTTCCACCATCACCTCCAGTGCTGAATCACAGGTGTGCACTACCACACCTGTCTAACGCACCAGTGTACACCGAGTGAGAAGTAGGTGGGTCGGGGTGGGTGAGTGAGTAGGCAAGTGAGTGGGTGTGAGTGTGTGAGAGTAGGCGAGTTGGTGAGTGGGTGTATGTGTGTAGCGAGTGAGCGGGTGTGCGACTGGATGAGTGAATGGATGAGTGGGCGAGTAGGTGAGTTGGTCAGTGGGTGAGTAGCTGTGTGACTGGGTGAGTGGCTGTGTGACTGGGTGAGTGGCTGTGTGACTGGTTAAGTGGATGAGTGGGCGAGTAGGTGAGTGGGTGTGCGAGTAGATTGAGTTGGTGAGTGGGTGTGTGTGTAGGTGAGCGAGTGGGTGCGCGAGTCGACGAGTTGGTCACTGGGTGAGTGGATGTCCGAGTTGATGAGTGGGTGAGTGGGTGTGTGACTGGGTGTGTATGGGTTGCAGAAGGGAGCCACTGGGAAATCTCGCGCCGTGCGTCCACGCAGACCCTGCAGCGCCACCACCGCCGCTGCCGCCACCGCCGCCTCCAACCCCCACTCTCGCCAAATTCCACAGCGCGCCCAAGCAGCTGCCACCATTCATCTGAGGTCACAGACACCAGGACACTTATTCTTCCTGTTGCTTCCAGCACATTTTTATTCGTATCGTCATCACCACGATCATCGTTTACGCTCCGATTCGCAAAAAAAGGGGAACAGAAACAGTGGTAACCACGTGGTCGCTGTCGTCATTATTATTACTATTACTACTATTACTACACAGAACGTATGTACAGGTAATGTACACGGGACGAGCCCCCCAGATCCCACACGCCACGCCGCCCTGCACCCTCGGGTCACAACGCTGCACCCCAGGCCACGCCGCTTTGCCCTGATGGAAGGTCAACCTCTGAGGCCTGCCCAGGGCAGGGCATGAGCACTGTGGATGAGGGGCATCAGGGGCAGCAGTGGGGATCGGGGGCAGCCTGAGACAACCTTGGCAGCAATGGGCAGTGGAGTGAGATCTGGGTCAACAGCACCAACAACCTGTACATCATCGTAGCCAACATCGCCATCATCGTCACGAACGCCATCGTCGTCAGAGCTGTTGTCGTAGTCATCGCCAAAATCGTCATCGTCAGCGTCATCAGTGAACGTTTATATTTCCGTCAAAACAACGGAACCCACACGTTCATAAATCAGGGTGGGAGATCCGTAAAAAGGTTTAGCGAACAATTCATTCAAGGAATGCTAAACAAAAAACAATCATCATCATCGTCGTTATCCGGGATGAAGAGGATAGTGAACGCTTAGAACGAGTATAAAAACAAAAATCAGAGTTTGGTTGTGAACATCGCACGAGGGGTGATCGGAGACGCGGTAGGGGGAGACTTGGGGAGACATTAGGAGCTGGGGGGAGACTCGGAGAGGCACGGAGGGTGAGCAAAGACACGGGGAGACACTGACGTGGAATATCCAGACTCAGTACTTCGGCCCATCAAAAGTTCCGGGTCCTGGTTTTGCAAATTCCCCACGACGGCAGCTGCCCAAGGGAAGTACGCGAGGCACCGCACGTCACTCACACCGCACCGCACCACACCGCACCACACCACACACCGCACCACACCACACACGTACACCGCACCACACCATACACGCACACTGCACCACACCGCACCAAACCATACCATACACGCACACCGCACCACACCGCACCACACCATACACGCACACTGCACCACACCATACACGCACACCGGACCACACCGCACCACACCACACACCGCACCACACCACACACCGCACCATACACGCACACCGCACCACACCGCACCATACACGCACACCGCACCACACCACACCACACACCGCACCATACACGCACACCGCACCACACCGCACCACACCACACACCGCACCATACACGCACACCGCGCCACACCGCACCACACCATACACGCACACCGCACCACACCATACACGCACACCCCACCACACCGCACCATACACGCACAAGACACCATACCATACACGCACACCGCACCACACCGCACCACACCATACACGCACGGCACTCGCAACATTCATACTGCCTGGCACACATCACCCACCTGACCACCGACCACATATACCACTCACAATATGCCTCACACGCCACCCAGTCACCCACCACACAGAGCGCCACACACACCACACATCAAAGCTCACACAATCCACAGCATCGCACACAACTCACACCACCGCCCACACACACACGGACGTTGCCAGAATATTACACCTCCATAGCTTAAATTCGACCCAGTCCGTCTGGGTTGGCGACACAGAAAACATTTCCGCACAAGGCACACCACATCCATTATACCTCTGGCTATGGATGTGTTGTCGACTCGTCACACGCCACCTACTCCAGTCCGTGAGTGACCCGAAAAATATTGGGCAAGAAATGAATCCCCGCTTACACCCAACAGACATTCACGCACGCACACACTCGCAACCGTTTGTGTCAGCCTAGCCCCGCCCGGCAGCTGCTGACAGGAGGAGGGCAGCACACCGTGCCACACACACCGCCATGGAACACACACGCACACCTCCACACCGCCCCTACTCGCCAAACCGAGTGGGAGATCCCAGCTCCACCAGCCAGCTGCAATGCCACCACCGCCGCCGCCGCCACCGCCGCCGCCCGTCGCGTGAGCCAGTCCGGCACGGGGGGCAGGGGACGGCGCGGAGGGGTCAGATGGGGCGGCCCAGGAGGACGGCGTCTTTGCAGAAACCTTCGGCCATGGGGACCTCGAAGAATCCGAGTTTGGTGTAGAACTCCGTGTTGCCCTTGTCGCTCGCCTTCACCTCGCAAAACGCACCCTGCGATCCTGCGTACGCGTGCGTGTGAGAATGTGTGTGTGTGTACGTGTGTGCGAGAGCGTGTGTGTAAGAGTGTGCGTGTGAGAGTGTGTGTGCGAGAGTGAGAATGTACGTGTTTGAGAGTATGTGTGTGCATGAGAGTGTGCGCATGTGAGCGTGTGTGTGAGCGTGCGTGTGTGAACAATTGTATTATTAATGTATTAGTCCAGATCTCGCCATGGCAGACGTAGCACACGATCCGAGACGGCGATGCCCTTGCACAACTGCACATGAGAAACGGTGGTGCTTTTCATGAGCACAAGTGCCCGGTCCGTCCCTGGGGTGGTCCATTACAACAAATACAGCAGCAGCATCATTATCTGAAATTACAAGAATGATAATAAATACGCTCGTTTACCCGGGAGAACCTCGCCGAGTCTCAAGGGTCCTGCCAATTTCTCGCGGGAGTAGGGGGGAAACGTTGCTGCTGCTGCGTGTGATCCCCAATGAGTAACGTGGAGGTGTTTAGTCAGCACTGCGATGTTCGCAGCGAACGCCGCCTGAGCTCGCCTGCTGCCCGGCAGCAGTGGCGAGCGAGCGAGCGAGCGAGCGGTACCGTTGGCCTTGAGGGACGAGAGCAGGCAGCCCATCATGCTCTTGGCAACGCTGGGGTCGGTGACCCGGCTGTGGATGTCCACGCGCACCAGCGACGGGAAGCGCGATACCAGCGTCTCCGGGGGCACCCGCGCCTCCTCGTGGAAGCTCAGCATCACCTCCTGGGCGGAGGGGGGGGGGGTGGTGGGGGCAGGGGGTGGGGTGGAGGTGAAGTGGGAGGCGAGTCGGAGGGAGCACGGCAAGTAGGGAGGGCGACAGGGATGGAGCACGATCAGCGATGCCACCGTGGCCAATGCCGCCGATGCCACCACCAGCACCGCCACCGTGGTCGCCAGCGCCTCGCTACCAAAGCTTCCGACCATCTCCCCGTCATATCCAGCAGCTACTGCTGCTGCTGCTGCACAACAGAAGATGGGGGAGCACTCACACTTTACCCCAGCACACGCGACCGGTGAACCCATCTGTACGCGCTAATTCTTTCGACTGCTGCGCGAGGAGATTGACGGACAGCAGGTCCGGCGTGCCGCTGACCGTGACGCGGCCGTGGCGGCAGCGTCCCGACAGAGGGACACGCGAGTGGCGTGATCATCGCCGCGGTCGTACCAGCGAGAGGGAGAGCGCGTCGTCCCCGGTGGCGGCGGGCCGCGTGTACTTGTCCTGCATGGCCGGCAGCCAGGCCACCTCGCAGCGGCTGAAGAAGGACTTGGCGTCGACGGAGCCCAGCGCGTAGCCGCACACGCCCTCCTCGTCCTCCAGCACGAAGCAATACTCGGGGCTCAGCGACAGCAGGCTGCCCACCAGCCTGCTCGCGAGACGCAGGACACGCGCGGCGAGTCACGCGCGGCGAGTCACGCGCGGCGAGTCACGCGCGGCGAGTCACGCGCGGCGAGTCACGCGCGGCGAGTCACGCGCGGCGAGTCACGCGCGGCGAGTCACGCGCGGCGAGTCACGCGCGGCGAGTCACGCGCGGCGAGTCACGCGCGGCGAGTCACGCGCGGCGAGTCACGCGCGGCGAGTCACGCGCGGCGAGTCACGCGCGGCGAGTCACGCGCGGCGAGTCACGCGCGGCGAGTCACGCGCGGCACGGGCGACTCGTAACGCGCGTAACGCGTCAGGCTCGTCTCTACGAACCGCGCGACATGCATGGCACACGCTACGCAACGCACACGCTACGCAACACACACGCCACGTTTCACACAACGCACGCGAAGCACGGGAAGTTACGCACGACCGACACGATGCGTTACAGACATCTAAAACGGCGGTTTTCAAGGCCAAGACGAGCGTTCACGTGTGACTGTTGGCTGGAGTGCCGGCAGGAGCGCCACACGAAGCTCACCGGTCTCCGATGAGGTCGGGGTTGTCCGGGAAGAGCTGCGTGCCGTCCAAGCCGTCGGCGTACGTCTCCCGGCACACCTTGTAGGCGGCGGCCTGGCGAAGACGCGACAAGAACGCTCGCATCTCCCCCCCACCCCCGTCTACACAGCCAAGCCCCGCCAAGTCTCAAGATGCTCTTACAGAGGGTCCTGCCATATTGGGCAAATTTCCTCGTAAAATAACAGGAGCGTGGCGAAAACCCACCGTGTACATCAAGGGGATAAGTTACAATTCCGCAGCCCCGTGAGGCCAGCAAGGCCCACACAACTTCCTGCGATCCACCAACCCTCTTCGTTGGTGGTCACATGACCACTCGCGCGGTCCACTGCCCGGATCTACGCCGAGCGCCGAGGGAAAGGCGATTCCTGCACCAACACCGGCACCGGTCAGACGGCACCGCCGGGGGTGGGGGTGGGGAAGAAGAGGAGGGGAGGGGGCTCACCTCGTCCTGCGGGAGGTACGGCCGAATCGTGTACACCTTGGCCGTGGGGGGCAGCGGCGGCGGCTGGAAGAAGAGGTCGTTGGCGCCGTCAATGGGCAGCATCCGCTGGGGGGGCCACGCGACACGACGGGGAATCAGTGCGAGCCGACAGCGCGGGAACTCCCGTCGCGACCTGACGCGCCGAGCTGACCTGTGACCCACCCTGCCCCGGTCTGGCAGGGGCAGGGTGGGTCACCTGCCATTAAGACGTGGGGGGCGTGGGGGGCGTGGGGGGGCGTGGGGGGGTGGGGGGGGTGGGGAGCGTGGGGAGGTGGGGGAGGTGGGGGCGTGGGAAGCATAGGGGAGGTGGGAGGGTGGGGGGCGTGGGGGGCGTGGGGAGGTGGGGGGGTCGGGAGGTGGGGGGCGTGGGGAGCATAGGGGAGGTGGGAGGGTGGGGGGCGTGGGGGGCGTGGGGAGGTGGGGGGGTCGGGAGGTGGGGGGCGTGGGGAGCGTGGGGAGGTGGGGGGCGTGGGCAGGTGGGGGGGGTGGGGAGGTGGGGGGCGTGGTGGGAGGCCATAGAGGAGAGAGGTGCCATAGTTGAGGCTGGATGAGGCAGCAGGGGTAAGGAAATGGAGGGCGAGGGAAGTGAATATTGAAGGCTGGACGTGGGCACGCAGTGGCCAACTCCCCTTCGAATGACATCACCGGATCTTGAACGCACAGCGTGAAGCGGACGGTGCGGAGCATTGTACGCTGAACACACCCGGCGATATCAACCAGCACGACGAAGGTGAACGAGAGATGATTATGATGATTATGAGGATGTAGCGAGACGAGCGTTGGCAATGTGTTGCGCTGCTCACCTGTAGCTCGCCGGCGAGACCACCGCGGAACACCCACGGCTCCTGGTCTCCGCTCAGGAACTGCGAGTGGGTCTGGCTGCGGCACCCTGTCACGGCACACGGCACACGGCACGCGCATTCACAACCACGAGACGGCATGCACCGCCGGTCCATAGGCGCGACGCGCGAGCAATCGTGGCGAAGGGCGAAACCAGAAAAAGTTCACATACACGTTCACACGCTCACCCACACGCTCGCACACACACTCGCACACACACGTTCACACGCTCACACACACGTTCACACACACGCTCGCACACACACTCACACGCTCACACACACACTCGCACACAAACACTCGCACACACACGTTCACACGCTCACACAACAAAATATAATAATTTATTCTACCCTTTCTGGCAATAAAGCAGGTGGTAAGATGTTAAAACACCAAACTGAAATCTTTTGCAAAGAATCATATCTGCATTAACCACATATACTTGTGGTGAACATGCAATAAAAAATATGCTCTGATAGTATATGCATAGTATATGCATATTCTATCAGAGGATGTTCTTGGCAGAGGAGGTCCCATGATGTAGCTGCTCACCGCGAGCTCTTAATGTCCTGATAGTGGTATTCTCTTTGTGCTGTTCACCTTTTGGAGTCATCTGGTCTAACACTGTTTGAGACTCGGCTCTAAGGAAAGCTGTCTCTGGTGTGGACCACGAGTATATGTAGTTAATGCAGACGTGGTTCCTTGCAAAAGGTGTCAGTTTGGTGTTTTAACATCTGAACACCTGGTTTATTTCCAGAAAGGGTAAAACCTAATCTTATATTTTGATACTGGCAATGGCGGTCCCATGATATCACACACATTTACACACACACGCTCACACACACACTCACAACAGCAACCGCCATTCGCCACTAAGTGGTGGTGATGTCACCACGACGCTTGTGCCAGGCCAAGTGCACACTCACACGCTCACAGACAAAGACATCCCACACTGCACTACCCCACACTATTGCTGGGTCACGCTGTGTTTGCAGATTTCCCGTGGGATTTTGCGGAAGCCTCTATCACTTTCATTTCTCTTTGCGAGTGGAAACCGGGCGTCCGTACTTCAAACGCACCGAGAAGAAGAGGCCGGTTCGGGGCCGAGGGACCGAACCGGGTCGCCGGCTCACAGGCCTCGACAGCCGCCCCCTTACCAACTCTCCTACCTTCGTCCGACCCCTGAACTCTGGCCCACAACCCCGGCAAAGCTGCCTGCGCGAGTGAGCTCGTGCCCGCCGCCTCCTCGCAAGGCACCTGGGGAGAGACAGGGAGGGAGCGCACCACCGCAAGAACCCCCCCCCCCCCCACCAGCCCCGCCGCCCGCACGGGCCGCCACCCGAGCCCCACCGGTGACCAACGTGCCGCCACTCTACCCACAAACCGCTCTCTCGCTCGCCACGCCTCTCTAAAGCCAAGTCCTGGTGAGCTTCGCTTGGCCAGGAATGGAGAGCACCGGGCTGCGCTGGCGAGCCGGGTGAGAGCGTGGCGAGAGGGATCGGTGCGGGATGGGTGGCCGTCCCCGCGGGGAGATGCGACCGTGCAGTTTGACCTCTGCACGTCACCGGCTCGCTGCGCAATCGGAACAGCGCGCAGAGGAACGCCGCCCCCTACTGGCAGACCAATGTCCACTTGCCGGCGGGTGCCGCCCACAGCTTGTGCCACACAAGGACCCGCGCAACTCTTTGAAAAACCTGGCTCCCTGCCCCCTCTATCGATCACCTCTATAACTCCCTCTCCTCCAGAAGGCGCCCCCCACGCCCACAGAGACAGCCCCCCCACAGGTAGGACCCCACGTGGACGGCACACCGCCGCGTTGTGCCCACCCAGCCACTTGACGAACGACTTGACCATGGAGACGATGCCCTTGATGTCCCAGATGTAGGGGTAGAGGTCGTAGAGGACGCTGCGGTTGGCGATGCTGGAGAGGCGCGTGAACATCTGCGTCACGCGGTTACACAGCTCCTCGAAGGCGAGGGCACGGGCTCGCCACTCCTCCTCCTGTGAGAGCGACGGAGAGAGGGGGGAGGGTGAAGGAGGGTGAGTGTGGGGAGAGAGGGGGGAGGGCGAAGGAGGGTGAGCGTGGGGAGAGAGGGGGGAGGGTGAAGGAGGGTGAGCGTGGGGAGAGAAGGGGGTGGGTGAGGAGAGGGGGAAGGGTGAGTGCAGGGAGAGAGAGGGGAAGTGAGCGCAGGGACAGCATGTGCACTGACATAGCAACACGACTATGGAGTCGTCAACACAGCTGAAAATACAACAAACAACAACACAGCCACACAGCACAGGCACTGCATCACAGCCATAACGTTACACGAACAGCAACGTAGCCGCACACAACTAAATGCACGGCAATGTGGACACGCGCACACAGCAACGCACATCAACACGGAGACCCATGCACACAGATACTACACACAGCAACACGGATATACAGCTACACATACATAAACAGAACCACACACAAGCACCAAAATCACAGATCCCCGTATTACCTTAAGAGACTGTTATGGAACGCCTATTAAGGCCGGCACGCCACACATGGCACAAGGTACTCATTTGAGGCTGAGTCGACCTAGTAGAGGCCCAAAACCGGTTCAGATAATCGTCACCGATGTTGGCTGCGTGCAGGAATCGAACTCAGGTCGCCGGGTTCGTAGTCCAGCGTGCTAAACACTCCACTATCACTCCCCACAGCACCTCCCATACTACAGTACACGGCACCGCACACGGCACCACAGACGGCTGCACTCACGCGCTCTTTGTTGGGCTCGGCGACGCTCCGGCTGCAGCCCACGGCGCTGCTGTTGACCTTGAGCCAGTGGAATTCGCGCAGCAGCTGAGCGGCGCGCGGCCCGTGCTCGTACGGGAGGTAGAAGAGGTCGGCGAGGAGGTCCAGGTCGTCGGCCGTCACCGGATCCACGGCCGAGGACTTTCCCCCGCTCCCCGCCGCCGTGCCGGCACCGCCGCACGGGATCACATCGTCCGTCTGCATGGGCCACGCCTCGGCCTGCATGCTCCTCCCATCCTCCTCCTCCTCGACAACGACGGCATCGATGTTGCCACGCAGGAAGTCCGGCGTTCCGACCTGGAGAGCGAGGAGAGAGGGACGCACGGGGAGCTTCGCGGGGTGAACGCTACGGACGGGATGCCATCGAGCGAGCATGACCCCAACGAGAGGTCAGGCTCGTTTTATACTGCCCCCCCGCCACCCCACCCTTCACTGTAGTCTGGAACATCCCTTCCCTCCATCCGTCCGTGCAGTTGACTCAGGCTTAGGACCTTTGCCTCTGACTGCCTCTCTGTTTAAAAGCAAAATGGACAGCAACTTCAAATATGGTGACATTTGGATGCTCACTCGCTCGCTTGCCCACTCACTCCCTTTCTCGCCCGCTCATTCACCCAATCACCCGCTCGCTCGCTCGTCCACTCATCCCCTCACTCACCTCCTCACTCACCCCCTCGCTGACGCCGTGCGCCGGGCTGCCCTCCGCCACTCCCTCACGCTCCGTATCAATCGGACGCATCTCCCGGTCGGGCGGCGTGGCGGGCGCGGTGCCGCCGGACCCCTCCTCCGTGCCGCCGGGCCCCTCCACGGTGCCGCCGGGCGGCCCCCCGTCCGTGGCCACGGGGCCACCCGCGGCGCCGTCCAGGTCGGTGTCCATCGGCCGGGGCTCGCTGGCGGTCACGGCGTCCCCGCAGTCCGGCTTCTCGCACGCCGCCGTCTCCATGGGCTCCTCCACCACTGGTTTCGCACCGGCGCTGTCGTCGACGGCACCGCCGCTGCCACCGCCATCATCCACATCGTCCCCCCCTTTAACGAGGTCTCCGCCTTCCTCTTCCACCTCCTCGTCAATGCCCAAGAGCGGCTTGGGGTCGATCGCGGAGTCCGGGGAAGCTGTTGGGGAGATACGGGTAGACACGGGTCAAAGCGCAGAGATACACGGAGACACACAAAGGGAAAAACACAAAGGGAGACAAAGGGAGAGAAGGGACACGTGGGGATTGAGTGCTGGAGAGCGATGAGGAGACAAGGGGATGGTATTAGAAAACTACAACTATAATTGGAGGGAGGGCCCCCACCTGGCAGGGTGGTGGAGGATGAAGACATGATGGGCTGCTGGTAGATGGAGGTGCTAACGGTTGCCATGGAGGCAGCCGGCAGGGACACGGTGATGACGTTGCTGAGGCTGGTTTTGGGTCCGCTCCCTGTCACTTGTCTCCCTGTGGGGCAGGGGGGATGGAGGGGGAGGGAGGGAAGAGGAGAGGATGGGAGGGGGGTCACGACCATGGCTGTTACAGTAGTATTGCTTGCGTAACTGGTAGCCGAGTAAAAACATCCAGACCAATAAATGTAGCGCATTTACCTTTGAAACAAAGAAATGTGGGAGAATCAACCACGTGGTGGCTTAGGCTACTGTGCTGTTTGTACGTCCACAAACGCCTCCGACGTGCCATGGGAATCGGTCAGAAACCAGTAACCAATTCTGAAAGCGGTTGCCGGTTTAGCAGGTTACCATTTATCAACCCTAGCCGCGTCTCAGCCAGCACTTGCCAGCAGAGTCGGCTCTTGGGCAGGTGTAGCGAGTCGGTGAATCTCCCTTCCTTACCCGGCAGGCTACACGAGTCCGGTGAGACGCGAGAAACGTCATCACCTCTTTGGCAAGGGCAGCCTGGGTTTCATCCAATCCAAAGCTAACAATAATACAAACAAATGTTTGAATAAGGTTACTTGAGTGCCTGCTGGGTGGGCGGGGGTGTTGTTTGTGTCTGTCAGGTAAGGGTGTCACCTGGCCGATAGGTGAGCTGACAAGTAAGTGGAGGGCTCAACTGGTTGAAAGGTGAGTGGACAGGTGAGCAGACGGGTGAGGGGAGGGCTCACTGGGCTGCTGGGCGGCGAAGTCGTGGAGCCACTCGACGAGCGCGAGCTTGAGCGCCGTGCGGGGGCTGTAGAGGATGTCGGTCTCCAGCTCCTCGTCGCTGCCCTCGTTCTCCAGCTTGATCTGCACCGACACCGTGCTGTCCTCGCTGCCTGCTACACACACACACGCGCACAAAGACACCACATGTAACCCACGCAGGATGTTGGGCCAAGTCCTGTCAAAGAAACATTTTACGTGTTTAAGTTCCCTTTGGAAAGCGTTGAGATCAGACGCAAGGCCTCTTATTGCGTGAAGTGCTCCTAGACGGCGTGAAAGAGGGAGGCTTTCTCGCACAAATCACGGTCGTTAAATTTGATTTTGTCGATTCCAATGAGCCAGCGGCAATTCTGATGTAACTTGGGAGGCAGCGAGCAGCCCAACTGAAGCTCCCTGGCACTTCCTGATATGAGGCAACTTCTCGGATCCACCACAAGTTCAGGATCGACCGATTCTTGGCACGTCAACTAGGAGTGTAAGAGGTCAGCCATTCCTGTAAATATGAAGGCACGAGATGACGAACAGCTCCATAAGCAGCGATTAGGATTATTTTAAATCAATGCTGAATTTTGCAGGAACGTAGCCAGTAGCGCGATTTCATCACCGGAGATATCATAATCAGAATCTTTATTTATACTGAAGGAATCCAATGAGCTTGGTCTTTTTCACAGATGTCCAGTCGGGGCAGGTCGGAACATTACAACAATACAAATTCATCACAGGGGTGGCAAAGTGTGTAATGGGGAGCAAGGTAGCACTCTGGCTGCAGTGTGTGCTCACCGCCACAACAACCGTCACTTCCGACCAGCACGGTTGGCTACGTACGGTGCGAAAGAAGTTCAACATGCGTACAACCGTCACAACCGCAACAACAACCGCCGCAACAACAAGTACAACGCCAACCGCCAAAACTGACCCATGACGGCATCCTTGCGCACGCCGTGCATGTTGGAATGGTACCACGTGGCAAGCGTGTGCACCGCCACGAAGTTGGCCTCGAACTCGCAGTTGGGGTTGGTGAGGACGCCGTTGAGCCGGGGGATGAGCTCCGAGGAGCGGCCCTTGAAGGGCCCCAGGAAGAGGCGCTTCTGGTCGTAGTCGTTGGCGTGGATGTTGTCCCAGATGACGGGTCGGCGCTTCAGCACCTTGGACACTTCCTCCACCGACTCCAGGGAGATGTCCTTGGACACCACCTTGGGGCCTGCGGTGGCGGCACACGAGTAAGTGGCGCACATCCGAACCGGTGGAGGAAATTACATATTCCTATGGTGGGGACCGGTCCATCCATCTGGTTTCCCTATTCACCTAAAAAGGATTATGGACGTTAGTGGGATGAATAATGCTAAACCACAAGGATCAGCCAATCTATATCTCAACCAGTACGTTGTTAATTTACTTTGTTTTATTTCTGTGATTGTCCTTGTTAACCCAGGAAAGCCTCACTGAGTCTCAAGACATTTTTTTCAGGAGGGTCCTGCTAAGTTCTTGCAGTAGGGGATAATGGTGCAGTGTAATGACAACTGAAAATTTTTTCGGTAATTTTTCAGCATTGCGATGTTTGGTTAAATACATTAACAGTTGCACTGTATGATTATTTTAGCCACGCGAGGAAACTGGAGAACCTGGAGAAAACCAACGGAGAAGAGGGGTGAACAGACAAACTCCAGGTGGAAAGGCACCCCCGAAAGAGTCGGCAATCGAACCCAGGCCCTTCTTGCCGCGGGGTCCAAGTGTTACCGCTGCACTACCGCCACCCTGCCACCACCGAAGCCCTCCGTTTAAAACCGTGTGCGAGGGTCTCGGGCGCGTACGCACCTGTCCACAGGACGTCGATGTTGGGTAGCAACTTCTCGCCCACTGTCTGCAGGTACGGAGACTGCGCGGGATTGGGGTAGCACAGGGAGCCGCAGTATTCTGCACGCCGCACCAAGACAAAGAGCCACTCGCAATCAACAGGGAGGGCAGGAGGCTGCGTGGCTCAGGGGTCAGAGACGCCGAGAGCCTGGATTCAAATTTGGGATCCAGCCACCCGTCGTGTGCGACATCGTGAGATGACGTCACGCGTGACGACGTCATGGGGAAGCAAGGCTCGCCCGTGGCATATGACGTCATCGCCTAGGCTAAAAGGACTCATTCATTAAGCACCGTTTTTTGTTTTCAGTAACCTTTTCATCAAATGGGTCTGTTTTCTATAGGTTAAAGTCCCTACAAGCAACACAACTAACCACAAAATGTAATTGATATTGAACAATCTTAACGAGAGGTATTGCGACTACCCCGCCCCCCGTTACACACGACCGCTGGGGCTGGAGTCACGCCAAGGCGGGAGCGAGGGGCGGCCGCACGCACTCACCCGTCGGGCAAAACATGAAGGAGGCGGGCTCGCCAAGGTGCTGGTAGACCTCGTTAGTGACGGACACCTGCGCGTAGGCAAACGAGGTGAACACCTCCTTGTCGGCAGGGCACATGTTCTGGTCGATGTCATCAAAGAGAAGGGCGAATCCACGGCAGCCAAACTGAGAGACCTGCGTGGAGGGGGAGAGGCAAGGGAAATACGGGGGGAGGAGGGGATGAATGAGAATGTCCCGTCTCATGGTTCAATGTTGATTCTTAAGCCTGCAATACACGAACCCAATCGCACACGTGATAATTGATATTTTTATATGTATACAAATTATATACAAGTGGGCCAACGTGGAGAAGTACAGTCAAATGACCCCCGATCCCACGACCCGCGCGACTGTGGGGAGATCCTTGTCCAGCAACGTGCTGACAAAAGGGGCCACACGTGGACATGAACAGTGAAAAATTGGGCACACGAGACGGTACGAGCGCACCTGCTCCAGCTTGCGCTTGAGTGTCACCACCTCCTTGGGGTTGGAGAAGGACATGTCGAGGCCCGGCGAGATGGCGTACACAAACTCCACGTCATGCTCGCGCGCTGCCGCGATCAGCGACATCAGCTGATCTGTGGGAGGGGAGGCGGGTCGCACGGCTCGACCTGCGTTAGCCACTCATGGCTCACACCACCGGCGGCGCAAAAGAACCAGCGAAAACCAGCCAGCCTCTACGGAGAACCGCACCAGAGCCCTGCACGAGACTCGCTCTGTGGACTTCTCCAATGTGCTTTCGGGTTGTACGATGTCCGACGTTTCGTTCAATGTGCTGGGAGCTCCTTAAGGAACTGAATGGAGCAGGTCACTTCAGTCGATTACGTGAGGAGTTGCCAGCTGCTGCTGGTGTTTCCGGTTGTTGACGCCGATTGGCTCAGCTCTGAGAAATGTATTCAGGTTCCTGAAAGCGCCTCTCAGCACAGTGTAGAGAAGAGTAGGGTGACAGTGTCGAGAAGAGTATGGTGAAATGAGAGGGGAGAGGCATGACTGTGTGGAGTAGAGTGCGACGAGAGGGGAGAGGTAGGAGAGCGCATTGAGGGTTGTTACAGGAGGTTTATCTTGGCATTATAACATACGCATATCTAACCAACACCATACTGCCAAATAAAAACAATCCTCCTTTATTTATCTAGGACACCCTCTGATCTCAAATCCATTTTTCAACAGGGTCCCGAGTTTGGATGCTGGACAAATTCCTTTTGTAAGTCCTTTAAATGATTAAACCTCAGCTCTCCGGATGTTCTCGTGCCCAGACCTGCCCCGTACCAATCATCTCTCCACCTGAACACACGCGCAAGCACTAACTGCGAACCGCGGTCACGAGGAACAAGCGACCATTTACAAGGAAACGGAACCAGAACACCACAGCACACGCCGGCAGCCGAGAGTCTCAGTGACTCCGACACCATAGCTGCCGCAGCCGCCACCACAACACCTACCGGCCTCCTCCACGGAGTACATCTCGCGCCAGAACATGCGGTGCTTGCTGTCATCCTTGGGCGCGTACATGTAGGTGTTGAGGCCCCAGCGCTGCATCCTGCCGGGCGAAAGCACATCCGCTATGATGAGATGCGCCGCTCACTTGCCCTCAAAATAACGTTGGTGGAAATACCGTGACCCGCGTGTAACGGGTGTCATCTTTGGGAGAGGCCTAAAATCTTTAAAATATCGGAAATGTTTTAAAAATCGCACTCATTAAGCTCAACATTTTACAAGGGTGCAAAGCGTTGCTGCCTTGTGATTATCTGCATCTCCATGGTGCTTTCCATTCTCTCTCCATGCTGGAGCGGGCAGTCCCAGTTTAGTTCTGTACTGTAACTACTGTGGCATTGGATTGTACGTTCCAATGGCACCGCAACAGGCAACCAAACACCGGCAATTGATGCAAACCGAGGAGCAGGAAACTGAGCACCAGCAACTAGCAACGAATCATCAGCAACTAAGCATCAACAAACAATGCAAATAACAGCATCAGTAATGTATGCAGCCAGAAATTAGAAACTAGTAAAAAAAGCAATTGGCAACTCAGCATCAGCAACCGAGCACCAGCATTCGAAGCAACCAGCAACTTACAACCAGACGCCAGCAGCCAAGCACTGGCAATGAATGCAGTGAGGCAATGCACTCGGGGTGGCTCGGGTGAGTGCATGGCGCCACGTTCCTCACCGCTTGAAGAGGTTCTTCCTCTGCTCCATGGTCCATGGTCTCCCGTAGAATCCTGAGAGGGGAGACAGAGAGAAGGGGACCCCAGCCAGGGAGTCCAGAGTAGGGGTTTGTTAGGGGTTCCTCGCTACTTAGGGAAGAGGCAGTGGCAGGGGTCTGGAATGCTGCACCCCTGAAGTCGGTTAATGATGATGATGTGCTATGGAGGAACAGAGACAATGTGATGATGCTAGGTTTTGATATTCGGTACAGAGCTTCGGGAGATGTGGAGTGAATGTATATGCCAGTAATTAATGATTGCTGTCTAAATGTCACCAAGGACTTACATTTGTATGGTTGTGATTGTAATTGTTGTCACCGCATTATTTTTTTTCATTTTAGTGTTAAATAAATAAATGTATTATCCTCAAACAAGCTGACACAAATCACTTGGTGATGCTGCTGCGTTGGTGGTGATGCACAAGCACAACGAACAAGAAACTCCACACATGCATCAGTAGCAGTAATAATGATGATGCCTTAAAAGGAACCCACATGTGCTCAGGTCATTGCCCGAAGCGCCGCCGAATATACACATCTCCTTTAGCGTTAACACGAGATGCGGTTATTGTGGATGCAAGTTCACGTCCAGAACAACGAACACATCAACAGGGAAAAATAACAGCATCGACAACAAGAACGGCAACCACAAAAACAGAAAAAATACAGGAACAAACAACTACAAGTACTTTAACAACATCAACAGGCATGCCATGAGCATCAACAATAAACACAATGACAACAACTATGACAACACCATTATCCACAAAGTCAAAAACATGAATTTTTTAAAAGAATGTGTCAGCACCCAAATCAACAACCACAGAAACCACAGCAACAACAACTCGCCATTCAACAACGGCACCACCAAAGACCGTGATTGCATTCACAACGCAATCAACACTGTAGCGACAGCTTTAATTCATAATTTGACCCAAACAAGAAGAAAAAAAGCACTATAGATTTAAAAACCACCACAAAAAATTAATTATATTACGAACAAAAGCAGCAACTACGACACCGCTGAGGCCTTGGCACAGCGGCGCTCGGCTAGTTGCCACGCCGAGACCGACGTGGGGGGAGCCCGCAGGCAGGGAAAGGCCGAAGGGGTCTCGGCCAGGCGAGATTTCAAGATGCAATGAAAAAAAATAAACCATAAACCCCCAGCGAGGTTTATACAGCAGCGTGTAATGTGCGTGTGTTTGTTTTTGTGCATTTCGCGTTTTATTGACGCAATGCAATAAGCAGCGAAGGTTCGTCAGCCCTCTGAGGAGCGCAGGCGTTGTAGAACTACGAGGCGCTGCTGGCATTGGTGCAGTCCCTCGACTTGAGGCGAATCATCACCAACAACATCATCATCCTCACTCCCACCACCACCATCATCACCATCGACATCACCATTATTGCCACCACCAGCGAGCACATGACAATTATATACAGAGCTGTGGCAGCAGGAGCACCAAACAACTCGCCACATT